ATTCTTGTCCTACTTAAAAATTTCAAGAAAAAAAAAATATCTAAGTTTCACCTCGAAAACACCCCAAGGACCCTCGTTTCCCATGGGTTGAGCTTCAACAATGATTCTTGTCCTACATTTTTAAGTCCTTAAACAATCCTTTGCCTTCTTCTTTGTCCAAACCCTAAAGCGCGTTTGGTGCAACAACTTGGGCATCAAGTATCTTTTCCATTACCTCCATAAGTCCAAACCTTCATTCTCACGCCTTTCTACAATAATTCACAATGGAAGTCGATGCGTATGCTACAAGTTTTTTCTTTCTTTACTCTTGCACACCACAACTGTACACTGATACCATTTATTTTTATTACAAGGAGGGCACAATCATATTTGTTCGATATATTTTTTAAATCAAGTGGTTGTAAGTATGTCATTGATTAGAGATAAAATCCAAAACTAAATTTATCGAACTTTGTAACGCACTCTAAGTCATCAAATTTGACATTTAATGACTAGGAGTGATTGTGATCTTCTTATAGTAATGATAAATGGTCTTGTCGTATACAATAACTATAACATAATGGGGTAAAGTTGATCCATTCCTTCTTTTATAGGGGTCACATCCGTTAAGTCTAAGAAAAGTGCATTAACTATAGAGATTGTATATTATGAAACCATTTACTATTCATGGAGTTTGAGATTTTTTCTTAACTTTGAATCTAGTAAATGATACATTTATAACCTCCTAATTTAAAATCTGTCAGAAAAAAATGATTGTGACCTTTTTGTACTAAAAATCAATGGTATTTTTTTTATATATTTCTTTAACTAAAAAGTCTAGACCCTTGTACTAAATAAATAAATAGTTTATTTATTTTTAATATATATTCTTAACTAAAAAGTCTAGACCTGAAACAGCATTGAAAGTAGCTAGAAAAATGGAAAATAAAGGGATGAAAGTAATAGGGAAGTATTTTAAAAAATATATACTATACTAGGTCCCTAAGATAAGAGAAAGGTTTCAATACTTCCCCTACAACATAGAAGAACCATCCTCCCTACTATCTAGCCATCCAATTTTGATCAAGAGAGCTACTCACCGTTTGATCTTAGATCCGACATCTCAAAGTATTTTATTTTTAGTTTTTTTTTATACAAATTATATGAATATGAAATTTGGTACGTGCCATCTTCTCATTGGGGCGCACCTATAAAAAATATTAAAAATAATTTTTCGATAAAATATAATGGCCAAAATTCCTCTTGAATCTTTCAGGGGTATTTTAATCATTTTATTGTATTGAAATTTTTTTTTTATATTTTTCACTAGTGCAAGTTTAATAGAGGATTGGCCATCCAAAATTTTGCGTCAAAATAGTTTATAGAAAAAAAATTTAAAATAAAATAGTGTCAAGATGTGATATTGTGATTGGGACAATTTTAGCCCTCCATTCAGAATGGACGGTTGGATAAGGGGTAGTATATAAATTTGATGCTGTAAGGGAAGCATAGAAAGCTTGCCCCGAAGATAATGATACTTTTGTTTTTCTCTGGGCAATTGCTTTAAATTCTAACGTCCACCTCTGAGAACCTGTTGCTGAATTTTTGTGGTGCACAATGTACTACCCTTCAAGGTCACTCATTTATAATCGGACACGGTTAGCATGCGGCCAATCCACACCTGTAAAAATGTTGGCTTGGCAATAAATATATTTTTTAAATATATTTTGATCCTAATTTTTAGATAATATGTAATCTTTAATATAGAAATCATGAATATGAAAAAATAAATCAATTTTAAAAATTAGAAGTGATAATTATATTAAGAAAATATTTAAAATGTTAGTTATTGATTTTAGATGGACCACCTATTTGCATCCATTTTTAAGATGAATGCTTTATACCTTTGAACCACATATTGTACAAATGCGGTCCTGCTCGCATAAAACAAGGGTTCTTTATAATATAATTTTGGGCATTCTTTTTGAGAAATCGGAACCAGCTGCGTTAGACTCGCCAGGTTTTGATTTGTTCCGATCGTTGGTCTCGTTCTCGAGCCAAATGGGTTCTATAGTTAATAAAAGAAACTAATACTTGAGAAGCAAAACGGTTTTGCAGTTCTTGCAACGATACCAAGACTCAAGCAATTTCCAATGGTTCATAACAATGTAGGAAACTACGACTCGGCCATAGAACTCGGCACAATTTGGACCGAATATGGCCAAGCCAAAAAGTAATAAAAGATAAAAAAACCAAAAAATGAGAAAATATGTTTAAAGTAAAATTAAACTAAACACATCTAAATCAGGTTCAAAAGGTAGTGAAAAAGAGATTTTGAAAAAATCAATTTGGGGACATTTTAGAAATAATCCAAAAAAAGAAAATGTAAAAATAAGGATTTAAAGCCAAAAACACTTTTCGATCTTTGCCAAAATAATAGAAATCATCAAAAATATTAAAAATCAATTGCCCTTTTTTTATTTTTTATTATTTTTTGGAAAATTATAAAAAATATATCTTATTTTTTTATTATTAAAAATAAAACCCAAACTCTTTAAAACCTCATCCTTACCCATTTTTTTCACTTTTTATGTTTGTTTTTATCAAAATAGCCTTCGTGGTAGTCGTAGGACTGTAAATACATCACGGTATACTCACTACCGTGATGGTCATGGGCGGTTTGCTATTTTGAGGCATCACGGTACTTAAACAGCCATGATGGTTGTTTTGAGGTATCACAACACTTAAACTACCATGATGGTCAAATAATCACAGTGATTTTATGTCCGTGATGCTCAGGTAAGAGTATAACAGTTAAATTTGAACAGTAATATTCCAATAAACCATCACGATTCTTTAAGTGCCGTGATTGTTGAAAACTACATCTGACTCACAACCCACCATGACCATCACGGTTTTCAGTAAGCTGTGATGCCTTCATGGTCTTGACTACCGTAAAGGCTAGTTTCGTATACTCACCCTAAAAAAGGTATGGATGAAGTTTTAAAAAGTTTAAGGTTTATTTTCGAGAATCCGAAATTAAGATATATTTTTTATAATTTTTTTTTATTATTTAAATCCCCAAAATCAAACCACGCAACTCGAAGATACTTCGACGAGTCCGAGTTGGCTCGCCCAAAGTTTTTTTTCAATGGTTCATAAGGTATCTCTCAATCATGGCTTTTCAGACCAGGGAGAGGCAAATGTTCCTTGACTGAAAAGTAAAATATGGTGAGTGAGCCAAACATTCTAATTTAGCCACAGTAGTGGAATCTTCCATGCTTACCCTTGTTTTATGGTAGGCGATCTGGAATTTTGATTATTTAATTTATGGTTACAGGAATCGGATTTGCTTGCACATTAAGCTTTTTTGAACCGGCCAAGGGTGACTCATTCTTGAGGTGTAATCACAAACCTTGTGCATCGAATGCAGCACCAACAACGTAACAAAATAATAACTATATGTTGCCATAATGACAAGCTACGCTCTGTTGTTTACGTCTTTCTCCCACTCTGGAAAGACGTGGTCTTTCTATCAATATGTTTAACCATCTCTCTCTCAATTGAAAGAGATCATTAATTTAGGGGTGGCAGTGGACCCGAACCCGACTCGGGACCTGAGGGGTAGACCCATTACGGGTTTTGGTATGGGTTCAAAATTGGATTGCGCGGATTACTTCCAAGTTCAAATCTTGGAGCAAAACATTATTCGAGTATGGGTCAGGTCAATTCTGAGTCCGATAATATTTTTTGTGTTCTAATATATAAAATATATTTAAATATAATTAAATACAGCGACTCATGAATTCAAGTCTGGGTCGCGTCCAGGTTCATATTTGGGTCCCATATTTTTCGGGTCCGGTTTCGATTGTTGCCCCCTAATTATTAGAACCCGTCCAATGGTTTTCATGGTCGCATTAAATTTGTACGAGGACTTGTTGGTATCCCAATCCCAAGACTCGTTAAAGGAGGAAAATGTGTTGGCTAAGCACCCAACATAAAACTGGATAAATGACCGATAATAATGATTAAATTTATAGGAAATTGTTTCAAAACCACATTGGACCGGCATATTATTTTTTCAGTCAACGTTGCCTCAAAAGAATCAAGTTAAAAGGTGGTCTCGCAAGTGTGGCACAGGTGCAAATGTACAAATTTCTCCCACCGGAACACCAATTGCTGCCTTTTTATCCAATCCACCTTCTTAGGGGAGCCAGCCGTACCTGTTTATATCAAATGCGGGGCACTTTCTTTGCATTCTCATCGAGATAATATAATATGGGTGAGGTTTTAGGTATAATCTTATACTATTGAAATAAGGCGCTTCTCAAATCTATGTTGAAAGATTCAATTTTGGTTCCAAAAAGCCTGAATGGCATGAAAATTATCGTTACCCCTCATTATGAAATTGAGACTTCCAAAAATGGTGTCGACCAAGCAGATCTATAAATACTTTAAAATCTTGAAAATAGAAGATCTAGATAATAAATTAGAAGATTAACAATCTTTAGGATTTGAAATCCCTTCCTCTTCGTATCAATTGAGAGTTTTCCAGCATTAGAACAACCTTCTTGGGGTTTTTTGGGATGCACTCTACTTCTACAATTTAAGGTAGACACCTTATATAGACTTTGTCCATATAATATTATCAGGAGTGCACTACGCTCCTATGGGAGCATAGTATACGTGTACGCCCTCCTTAGGATATCTACTCGGGAGGATGTCTTCAATCTAAAATTTTGGAAACCACCTAAAGGAAACTAGATGATTATTTTCAAAAGAAATTTTTAAATTTTAAGATTTCTATTACTTTGATCTTACACTCTTAAAATTGGACCGGTCTCAATTTAACCTTGAGACATTACCTTTTTCAAATACTTAGATCTTACACAGCTGCATTTTTTTTGGGTTGGATTGAAACGTCATCCTCAATCACCCATCCAAATTCACTTCATTTCCCTTTCTTTTATTTCAATCTCCTCAATTCTCTCGTAATTCCCAGCTGACTTTGCTCCATTTCTTTGTGTGCAATTCAAGTTTTCTCCTCTCTTTCCCATGATAAATCATCTGATTAGCTGTTCCAATCAGATGACAACTCTCTCTCTACAATTGCATGAAGATGGCAATTGGCATGGATTACAGTCCCAAACTAGAAGACATGCTTTTGGAGAACATATGGGCTAGCTTCATAGCAGGAAACCCAGAAAACAGAAACACAGAGAACCCCACCAATTCTCATGTATCAACACACAGCTGGGGAGAATTACCTGCTCTAACCCAAACAAATGGGTGTCAAGATATTTTGGAGAGGCTCCCAAGACTTGGAAGATGGATATCAATGGGGTCAGAGAACTGGGATGATTTGCTTGATGGCATATCGCTTGAGACCAAAAATGGCAATTGTAGTGCCGTTCAACCAGAAGAAGAGAGGAACACAGAAGTTTCAAAGCCAAAGGCCATGGTGGAAAAGGAAAGAGAGGCGGAAAGGCGGTATCGAGGTGTGAGAAAGCGGCCATGGGGTAAATATGCCGCAGAGATACGAGACTCTACCAGGCATGGAGCAAGGGTATGGCTGGGGACCTTTGATACTGCTGAAGAAGCAGCCATGGCGTATGATAAGGCAGCGTTAAGTATGCGAGGGCCTCGAACCTTCTTGAATTTCCCTCTAGAAATGGTGCATCAAGCATTGAGTCGCACTGAGAAACCTGTATGTCATGATAGTAAGCTTGGTTTCAGAGACAGGAGAGAGGAACAACAAGTGGAGGACATGGCGATGGTGCAAACCCCATGGAAGAAGGGATTCGATAGCATGGCACCAGATGAAGGGCTATGGGAGAACACAGATGTGGTGGAGTTGCAGGATCTTGGAAACGATTACTTAGAGAGCCTGTTAGCTTCTCTTTGTGAATGATTCATGATTGTATTAAAAAGCTTATCAATGGTTGAAGAATTTGAGAAGGCAATGCATCATTTCATGGATACCTGCCTCAAAACACACTTGCAGAGTGATTATTTCTGAACTGGTGGAGGAATTCTCTTTTAGTTAGGCCATTGATTCGCTATAAATTTATTATCTATTTTGTTTTTTCCCATTTTTGATTGTTAGTGCTATGTATGGGACTGAAAGTAAGAAAATTTTAGTTCTATGTTCTTTCTTTTCTTTTCCTTTTTTTTTTTTTTGGTTATATTAACGATGGGAATGGAGAATGAAACATGAGACATTATGTTTTTTTGGTTATATTAACGATGGGAATGGAGAATGAAACATGAGACATTATGTTGTAACGACTAACACTGGGAGGAAACCAAACTTCAAACCTTGGGCCAAAAACTCATAACTAAGGGTTTGAGTTCGAGGAAGTAACCATAATTATATGGTTCTTGAGATTAAATCCAGCAAAATTAAGATCAAAATCCTCGAGGCGAATTAAGATCAAAGTCCTTACTCCTCATCAAGAGATTGTAGAATTTTAGAGAACAATAAGAAGTAAGCACAAGCAGGCTTGTACTATATACATAAGGTAAGCAAATCATATTTTGCCGGGCCATATTTTGCAGTGTCATCTGCCCATAGTTATCGGTAAACCAAAACATCGTTAATAAATCGATTTTATTTCAAAGAGTCGAAGTAAAAAAATAGCTAGAAAATACAAATCGCCAAAACATAAGGTAAGTAATAAAATCATGAATATTTCGGATTTCATTAAAAAAAAAAAACATAGTGAAAAAATTGGATAGGTAACAATGATATATGATTACGATTTGCCGCTATCTATATTGTATAGATAGATGAAAGCCATTGAAGAATAATTTTATGGCCTTACTAGGGTACTTAGAGTAATACTTGACAATTTTTGTTGAATTTTTCAATAAATCCAACAACAATATGTATTATGTTGTCACAGAACAAAAAATATTGTAGATGTATTGGGAGCATAAAATAAAACAAAAAAAAAATACTAAATACAAGAACTAATTAGTAAATAACAAGAATTGTAAATCAATGTATAGGATTATTTTTCAAAAAAAAAAACAATAAACACCCTCAATATAGGATTGGAGTTAATTAAAAAAAAACACAAAGACCCATATATGTAAAATAGTGGTCCACCCAAAATGCTATGTTGTATACACCAATGAAATAAAAAAAAAAATGAAATTAATCAAACTTCTCAATACATAAAGAAAACAACAACATGCTTAAGCAAATTTGAATCTCGTACTGAATTCCTAGCTTCCTAAATCTTTAGTATGATTGTCTTTCTCTTGCTCTTTATGAGGACGCTATGCATTTTAAGAAAAAAAAAAAGAAAAGATTTTTTATTGAGTTACTCTTCTTCTAACTCTACTTGTTATTTTAAGATATACGGTTATTTTGATATCTTGTTTTTTGGGGAACATATTGTTTGTATTTTAGATACACTTTTTATAAAGGAACCTATCAGTGAAATTTTTTATGGAATTCTTTGTTAAATCAAGATTCTTAATTCACTCTCAATGTTAATGTACTTATATTTAAACCAAAATTCAATAATTTTAAGTTAATAAAGAATTAAAGATATATGAAAAAAATTTCTTTTAAAAGTTCGTTTTGAAAAAGATAAAAATACGAATTTATATCGATTCCATTAAAAAACAAAAATTTTTGAAGATCATTTGAAAAAAATCAGAGTTCTTAATAGACTATAAATAATCATTTTTTTTTTTGAAAAAAACGTGTTAAACGGAGACTTACTATCTGCCTTTTCCTTAATTTTCTAAAATTATGAAGTGCCTCACAAACTAAAATGTGACCATTGTAAATCAACAAGCTGCTCTTATGAAGCCCAGAGCTAGTTCCCGAATCCCTTCTACAAAGATATAAATTTGATACTTCTTTAAAAACCTTGTCACGTGATTGTCTGTGCATTCCTTGGTTTCATAATTTTGAAGTCATAAATCCATCTACCAATAAAATATTAAAAAAAAAAAACAACACCATTTTCCCAATGAACAACTCGTGTGATTATTTATGTGGAAAGGCATATGCATATGCATCATACTTTTTTCTTTCTAAAATAATATTTTAATTTCTACCGAATATCTCATGTAGGTCAAAATTGTATGGAAAATTGTTTCATGCGGCCCGGACCTCATTTCTACGTATGAGGTCCAGGAAGTGTAAAGCATCTATTTTAAAGATGGATGCAAGTAGGTGTTCTATCTAAAAACAATGGAAACTAACGGTCCAAATGTTTTTTTGCTAGAATTATTATTTTTAGTTTTTAAAATATATTTATTTTTTCATATTCATGATCTTTATGTTAGAGATTACATATCCAAAAAAATTAAGTCTTAAAATCCATCTCAAAAATAAATTTATTAAGAAGGCCGCATTTCTACATATGCGGGCTTGGCCACGTAGAAACCGGGTCCAAATTGTATCATTGATTTCTTTTGTTCTTTGATTTAATTTTTTTTTCATCAATCTACACTTATATTTATACATATTAAGAAGAAACAAATCATTCTTCTATCCTTGATTACATTTAATTGTGCATTAAATCCACTAGTTTCTATTCAAATGAAAATAAATATAAAAAGGTAAAGCAAAACATTGAAATTGCATTTCCGAATATGCTTCCAATCCTCCATCCAAAATCTCGTAGCGCGATTGTGCTCACTGTGGTCGATTAAGATTCTTCATGCACATAGATTTGAGACAATTCTACACCATAAAGGAAAACAATTGAGATTATAAGATGAAAACATGCATATGTATTTATTTAAGGAAAAAGTTTATATAAGGTCGCAATCTTAAAATGTAGAATTAAGGTGCACTTCAAAAATCCATGGAAAAATGCTGTTATGATGTCAAAAAAAACCTCTAATAATCAACTTGACATCGAGATGAATGAATATGAAAACAAAAAATATTTTCAAGTCCTAAAAATAGTACATCTTGCAATACATTATCTCTCTTTTTTTTTTGACAATATTCCTTAAACTTTATTTATGAATCAAAAGTTACAATCAATCAAAAGGAAAAACATCCGAGATCAACAAATTTTGCATTGACACCCCTCGTTTTGCCAAGCCATCATTAATGTCATTAGCCTCCCTATAAACATGCAGAAATGATATTTGGATACCATCACACATATCCATTATACTTAGCCATTTCCTCCTCAAACTCCATGGTGGCCTAGAAATCTTTTTGCACCAATTTATTACATTCAAACAATCCCCTTCAATAAAACCTGACGTTCGGATATTCTTCTATCTCAAAATCAAAATTCCACACTCTACTGCAACCAATTCTGCCTCAATCGCCGTCACCTCCCCACAAGAGCCAGCAAAACAGAAGATCACCTCTTCATTTGCGTCACGCAAAATTCCTCCAACCCCTTGGTTTCCTATTGAACTCCCATCGAAATTAACTTTGATACTCCCTATAACAGGCAAAATCCACCAACCTTTTGGTCTCACTTTTATCATATTTTGAAACATCAAATTATGAAAATTAATCTCTACATCCACTTTGGATACTCCAAATCCTTCTTTAGTCATGGAGAACCAAATCCAAACCAACTGCAAGATCTTTCTTTTAACAAAATCCACCTCCAAAGCTTGATTATCAAAAGTCCTCCTATTGTGCTTCATCCAAATCCCCCAACTACCACTCTTACCATCTCCCAAATAATCTTGCCCACCTTTGGTAAATCGTCCAAATCCATGCTGCCCTAAATATTCATATGACTGCACGACAAAACCATCATATGCCCAATTTTTTGAAAAACCCATACCAAATGTGAGAAGAGAAAGGGCAATGAAGGAAAAGATGAGCCCCATTTTCATCATTATCCTTACATAGGATGCATACATTCGTAATAACCTCCTCCTCTTTATAACTTTATCTATAAGTGACTTACCTTGGAACAAAATCCACAAAAAATTTTGAATTTTGAAAGGTACCTTCCAACACCAAATTCTCTTTAATAATGGTCTGCTCCACCGGATCTTATCATGGAACAGCAAACTGAACGTTGATTTTACTGAGAAAATACCATCCTTTACAGCCTCCCAAACCAACTCATCTTCCCTCTCACCTTGAGGCATTAATTCAGTAATATCCCCTAGCAGCGCAGTATATTGATCAATCATCAAGTCTTGGATTCTTTTGTATCTACAGTTTACAGACCACGCTTTTGCCTCCCAATCAAAGGTTTGTGATGCCAAAATATCTTGCTGATTTGTCACCCCAAACACCAACGGACATATCGACGTCAAACAACAATCCCCAACCCACTTACTATGCCAAAAAGATATCTTCCCCCCATCACCCATTATCCACTTGCAGCACATTATCTGGACCGTCCATTTTAAAGATTTTCATATATTTATAGATGTACTTAATTTGAAGCATTTTTTGAGTTTAAAATTTTACAATTCGAGACAAAAATGGATTATCAAGCCATCCTGAGAATGTTTTACACTAAAATTACGTCTATGATAAAATTTGGAGGTGCGTCTTACTTTGATTGTTTGAGGATGCAACCTGATACAAACCATACCGTTTATCTAATAGGAAATTTATCAAAATTCAAAATATAACTAACTTTTCAAAAATTTAACAATTTATTCTTTTTCAACTATTGTAACTCATGGCCATGTGTCTCTTGATAGGTATCTCGAAAATAAATAAATAAATGGGTAAAATATTAAATAATAAATGTCTTGTATGCATTTTGATGAACTTCGCTTTATTTGTTGACCTCCCCATTAGCTGTCGTGCAAATTTTATTTGTTTTTGGTGTGTAAGCCAACTCAATCTATTCAACTGCAAATTCCTTCCAAAATCAACCTTAGAGATGAACTTTGGATCTAAAATTTAAAAGGCCGATAATTTCAACTACGACAACCATGACAAGCAAAAAAATTGGATGCATTTCAGGAAGAACAATTCAGAATTTATTTATGGAGTAATTTACAGCTATATAGGCTTCCAGAAAGTTATTTCCTCCATTAAATGAACAAGAACTTTGGAAAACTAAACTTTTCTGAAAAGACAATGAAAAAAAAAAAAAACTAACCTTACAATGGCCATCATTCTTTAATGGCGCCTTCTTCTCCTAGATCTGGCATATCGACAAAAGAAAAGGAAAGCCATCACAGCAACAAGAAACCCCTCCAGCAAAACAACAGTCTTCAACCCTGCAAACCAAAATACATCACATTTCAAATATTAAAAAAAATGCACTCTTTTAAGGGGGATAAATTAAATCAAAGAAAAGGCACCTCTAAACTTCTGAATTAACTCTTCCAAATGAGTGTTTTTATCATTCAATTTACTGAAACTATGTGTCTCAGCTTCACTAATAATTTTTCTTGTATTACGAGTGACATCATCATCCTTGAAGCACGTATTCATGCAAATGATCTTGCCATCATACTCATCACTTCCATCGCAGCAGTCTGCAGTTTAATTTATTGAAGCAGCTTAGTTCCCTATATTATTTCTTGACCATTACATCCATCAACATATTATAGAAATATTGTAAAAAAAGAAATGAGATCAAAATTCATCGTGTGAAAGAAATGCTGCATGACATTGGACCCAAAAAAGTTAATCATTACTTACCACATATATGATCATTCACTCGAGAAGAGAACAACAGTAGAGGTGTTCCTCCCACATTTCTGCAGTAAAATTTACCCTCGGGGCAAGCTGAGGTTCCTGAAAACGAATAACAAGGCAATTGGAAATTATGAAATTCATATGAAGGAGATGCTGGAGAGTGAAGCTTAAAAGGGGTTGTAGGCTATGTCAAAAGTTTGTCTCCACCAAAAGCTCCACTGCTTGTCAGAGAACGTGTAGATTTTCATGAAGAGTACAAAGATGGACCAGGCTTACAATAAATGCTCTTGTATTGGTTTTGTGGGAGAAAACTCTATCACAGTTACACAAAAGAGTATAAAAACAGGTCCAAAGATGATGTGCATTTTACATAAGTACCAAGTCATTCCATATGTCTTAATGATGACACTGCATTGACTCTGCAAGTCATTAATCATTTCTAAAGATTTATGTCAGCCAATAAACAAAACTGATGGAAGCGAACTGGAGAAGCCAAGCTTGTGGACTTCCAACATACTCTGAATAACAAATTTGCTCCTTTCTCACTCAACTTTATCTATTTACAAATATTTCTAGAATTAGACACAACTTTTTTGCAAGGATTCCAGGTGCATTTAAACGGCCTTAAGGCAAATCACAGCCATATAATAAGCTTTCAGACTTCAAGCAACTGTTAGTCTCCTTTTTCACTATTGGGAGCATGTCTGCATGGATTAGATACACCTCAATGATTTACAACAAAAGGTCTCAAATTCAATCCAAGAAAGACCCTTAAGAGAAACCAGTCAACTACTGACTAAAGAAATTTTCAATTGAGACATAATACAGTACAAATATTAACTATAAGCATTAGTATTACAATATCATAATTATGTGAATACAGAGGCATGAATGCATAAATAGTTAACATTCATAAACAGCACAATTGTACATGACACACAGAGACAAAATCCTGAAATAAATATTGCCATTTTCAAAATCATTATCAAGATCTACGCACATTATTTTCTCAAGGAAATGTTGAATAGACCAAGTTCTAACAGTCCAAGCTCAGAATATTACTTAAAGTTGAAAGTTACAATCACAAATAAGAAAAACTAGATATTGATTAATTAATGTTTAATTCCTTCACAAAATGAAACATCAAAATCATTTTGTAATTCCTGCTCTGGTGTCACTTGAAGATGGCCAAAAAACACCTTCACGACCATAACTATGATAACGATCTTTACAATTTATCACAATTATTGAAACCGTAGGTTTTTCTTGGGAAAATTACATAACCCAAACCCCCCCCCACCCCCTGGCCAAAAAAACAGAAAGAAAAACAGTGAAAGATACTCCACATGGGATCCCCCAGTACAATATTTCTCTTGTCATACACCCTAGGACTCTTTTGGATTTCATCGACCCCCCCAAGTCACTTAAGAATGGCATTTAACACGAATATGCCCCTCCTCAAACAACGATTGGAAATAATTAAAACATTTCTATACTCTCTTCCCTGCTTAAATGGAAGCTTTGGTGATGCTGGTGGTAGCAGTGCCTCTTGTGCAAGGCTAAGTGGCTCATGTGCATTGCCCTGTGACATTCGTACCAAAAGATCAGTAATCAAATTGCCGCTTTGAAGGGCCTTGATGACCCTTGGGTCTCGCCCATTGTATTTTTCTTCTTGAACCAGGGGCTCTGTTTTGAGGGTGGAGGGAAATTTGTTTTGAAGACACTTTTCATTGTTGTACTTTGTATCATTAACATTGGAGGCTTCATAATTTGATTTTGGAGACTGACCAGTCTGTTTTTTTTTTTTGTAATTTGGGGAAGGGACTTGTGGCATGTCAATAACGTGTCTTCCTCATTTCCCCAAAGCTTGGTGCATCAGTAATGCCTCTTCTTTGTAATTTAAGGAAAGAAGGGACCTGTGGAGTATCAGCAATGCTTCCATCCTTTGTAATCAGGGGAATGAATAGTCAATTATTGCAGACTCAGTTTTCTTTCTCTCTCTGAAATTGCTCTTTGTATCCGTAAAACCAGCTAGGAGAGAAACCAGAGATTGACTTTTTGACCAGTAGGATCTTTACTCTGTTTCTCTCTCTACCATGGCAGTGTTTGAAAATCTCAACTTTCCTCGTTCAAATTTCAGAAAGTCTCTCTATGTCTCGATCTGTCTCTTGGGTAATTGTATTTTTCTCTATTTAAATTTCTAACCGTCTAGTTTGCTCTCTCATCACATGACTTCTTCACGAGATGTAGTTGGGAAATCCATTTTTTCTGACCTTCATGTCTAAATAAATTACTCTCTCTTTCTTCTAAATGGCCTATTGGGTGTAATCATCTCTCTTTCTAAATTTTTGTATTTTCTCTCTCTAAATAGGTGGGCACATCAATCCTACTGTAAACTTTAGACTGTATTTGGCAAAGAGGGTGTCCCTGATAGGGGCAATCATGAACATGGCCACCTAGTGCTTGGATGTAATGCATAGTGTCAGCGTGGTCAAAGGCTTTTAGAAATCATATTATTATGGTTATGGAGGACAGGCCAATGAATTGGCCTCAGGTTGCAATATGGGAGTTGGGAAAGATTACTGGAACTTCCCCGCTGAGTCACAGAGAGGAGAGATTAGAGAGAAGAAAGCCTTCGTTCAAGTAGGGGAGAGAGGTTAAATAGAGAAGAAACATTGATTTTTTATTATTTTTCATGATTCTTTGAATAGGGGCATTTTTGTCCCAAACACCACTGTACAATGACTTGGAGGGGTTGATGATAAGAAAAATGTCTTAGAGCAAGTTTGGATGTACCTAAAATTGGAATATTTTTGGATTGCAATCCAAAAACCTTTTGAAATGGATTTTGACCGTTTGGACAATTGTACTTTTTTGTCAGATTTTTAGATTGAAAGAAAACAAAAATCTCATATCAAGGCAAAAAATGAAATCCAAAAAAATTCAACTTAGACTTGAATTTTTTTGGCTTGAGTCGCATTTCACGTGCCTCTCTCTCTAACCCTCACGCTCTTCCCTCTCCTCCCTAGGAAACCCTTCTCTCCCTGCATCCAATGGCCATGGCCCCAAACTTCCTCTCTCCCATCGCCCCAAACTTCCTCTACGAAACCCTTCACTCTCTACACCCAATGGCCCCAAACTTCCTCTCTCCCATCGCCCCAAACTTCCTCTGCGAAACCTTTCTCTCTCTACACCCAATGGCCATGGGCCCCAAACTTCCTCTGCGAAACCCTGCTCTCTCTACACCCAATGGCCATGGCCATGGCCCACGATCTCTCTCTACACCCAATGGAGAGCGATGCTTGATTCTTCTTTTAAGAGAGAAGCAGCTTTACTATGACCCAAGGAATAGAGAGACTGGATCAAAACCCTAATGAGTTCATACCTCCTTATGAACCTTGTTGATCCCTGTGTCTGTAAAGGAAAATCATCCATGGAATTTGAGATTGTGAATTTTGGGGGCACTTTTGTGGCGATAAGACCTGCACTTCACCATCTCTAATATTGCCCATTCTTAGTTCCCATGCACTTCTTTCTCTCTCGAATTTTATTCATGTTGCTTTGTGGGTTCAAATAGTATTTTTCAATTCTCTCTCTGTAGAAACCCCAGGAGCCCCCAACCCTCTCTCTCTAGAATCCCCAGGTCCGCAGCCGCTTCCTCAACCCTGTGCTGCTCTCCTTTATCTTTCTCTTTCTTGGGAAATCCCAACTTCTCTCTCAAAAGAAAGCTCAGGCTCCAATCTTCCCACTTTCTTTCACTGAACCCAATTGTTACCCTCGATTTTCCCTCTTTACCCGTAGAATGCGAGAAAATCCTGACATGGGAAGGTTTAGGGGGCATTAAAGAAGGAGAGCATGCCTGACATTTCACAAGAAGAGAAGTGGCTTCCAATTCCACAACAAAGGCGTCATAAGGTCGTGTTCTCTGAGATCGATGGTGAACTTTGCAGCGTTAACCATCGCCCGAGCTTCTCCTATGCAACGCTCCCTAAAAGGGTGAGAAGCATTGGTTCTTGGATCCTCTCCATTGTCCCCTCCCTCTCTCTCTCTAGAAATACAGGGGGTTTGAGAGGCGCCAAGAAAAAAGGGGTAGGAGCAAGCACAGTGAAATTCACTGGCCCTGAGTTTGTTTTTTTTTGTGGACAAATAAATGAAATTATACATCCAAACAGTTTACCAATATAATAAAATAAAACGAGAAAAAATTTGCATTTTTTTCGCTGTGAATATTTTTTTCTTTGACATCCAAATTGGCCCTTAGGGTTGTGATGAGAGATTTTTTAGTAGGAGGTCCCATGTGGAAGATGTTTTACACCCTTCTTTTCTTTTGAATACTTGATGAAGCAATGTGTTAACCCAAGGGAAATCTCCATGTCTAACCCAAGGGCAGTCATCTTCATAATCTCTCGATTTCATTCATCATGATGACCACTTGAGTTTGGTCAGTCCCCTCACTAACACCCTGAGACCCACTGCTTCTTATAGCTAATATGAAACTCATGCACTTAATCCAATGGGTTCCTTTGGCCATCAAAAGTATCCTTTCCCATCAACCATTCCACCACAAAGTCCCCACCAAAACTATAATCTGAGTATTGGATAACTCCTAAATTTGATTGACATTAAATATAGTTAGTAGTGCATTAATACTAACTCCTCCAATCTTGTTGTGGATAGGAGTCTTCTTTTTGTAGTATATAGGACAATTAGGATGCCACTTTTGCTCACAACTAAAAACAAAGCATGTTTAATGCAAAACTTTGATGACTATCCTATAGAGCACTGGGCAATGATCTGCCATGCAATTCCTACCAATAAACTAAGGAAAGCATAGAAAAAAAATATATAGATTTCATCATCAATTTCACAATGTCTTCATTAATTTCAATTTAAAATACTGCAAAAAACGTCAAGCCTAAAAAATATCACCAAGATAAAATTTCTTGAATGAGTGGATAGCATGTCCTGGTCTAAGAAGTGTGAGGAACTTAAATTTTCACTTAACTCGTCAAAAGCCCTAGTAAAGGAGGTGGTTGTGTTAGATAGGCAGCCAACGTAAAACTTTGCCAAAATTTTCCATGAATTCGGAATGTATGTTATGGCACGTTCATGTAATAATGACCAATTGGATCCTTGTACAAATAAATTTTCATGAGTTCAGATAAAACAAGGCCAAGGCCTATCCCATGAAAATAACATAAGGGGTCAAAAAAAGATACATGTGAATTTATCCAGTTGAGTATTGGAATCTCCTTAGACCTAAATTGGATTCTCGAATTGCAATGATAGTTTTCAAACTTCTTGTCAATATTGGATTGGTTAGAAATATATTTACATAACTAACATTGGATTCAACATATAACCAACAAGAATGAAAGGAAAAAATATTCAAGTGTACAACAGTTATGAAACAAATGACATCTTTTATAATACTAATGAACCAAGCATTTACACCCTTGTCATTCAATCAAAATTTAAAACAATACTTGAATATCGATTTCAAGTTATGTAATAAATTTAAGCTCTATTACTTATGTTCTTTTTTTTGGGTGCCATATACATATCAAGACGCCTAGCGATACAGACTCATCCGGATTTTTTTTCTTGTTCACCAAACATTGACTACAGCATATGTAAAAGCTCTATTTTTTATTTCTCAAAAAAAAACATTGACTACAAAATTTTAGAGACTTGAACTACTTTTTAATGTTTAATAAATACATATGTACTTTGAAAAATATGTAACTTTAGCCAAGTAAGGCATAACTAAATATTTTTGCCTACTCAAAATGTGATGCAATCTACGTAAACAATGTTGGGTTTTTTTGTCTCTTCATAATTTTTGACATGTTGCCGGACCTATTCCTTGGTAGAAGAACCTTAAACTTTCCTTTAACCCGTCCCAAGCCCGACTTGAACTACTTTTCAATTTTTAATAGATACATATGTACTTTGAAAAATATGTCACTTTAGCCAAGTAAGGCAAAATTAAATATTTTTTCCTACTCAAAATGCGATGCAATCTAAGTAAACAATGTTCGGTCTTTTTGTCTCTTCATAATTTTTGCCATGTTGCCGGACGTATTCCTTGGTCTAATAAGGGTGAGGAACTTAAACTTTCCCCTAACCCATCCCAAGCCCAAGTAAAGGAGGTGGGTGTGACAGCCGGCATAAAACTTTACCACATCTATCATGAATCCTAAACCTATAGTATATGCGAAGAATGGAGGAGCATGATCAATGTAGTTGACCCCAAGTAATTAAAATAAAGCTTCGATGATGATGATGATGCCAGACCTATTCTTCATAGCATGAAGAATCTATGTCTAACACTAACACAAGTATATGTGTATCCATGCAACAAAGAATTTGAGGAACACATTTTTTGGGTAGCTCAGCAGTGGGATTTGAACCTGAAACGTCATCCTGCATATGACGACACCTTAACCATCTAGACAGATGAAACATTGTCTTCCACCTTGAACATATCCCATGATTTGGCACAACGTCTAAGTCTCAAGGTTCAAAAGTTCGGCTTAGGCTTGGGACTTGGGCCCTACCCAAGCCGAGTATCTCAAGTGAGTCACAGTAGTGTATGGGGCCATAAAAGGCTTAAAAAAAAAAAAATTTGTTCCAAATAAAATTAAATTAGTAAAAAGCAAATTAAACTGAAAACAACATTAAAATAACAAATAAGATAAAAATATATATAAAATACGGATTTAGAAGAAATTGATTGATAGCTGGAGATTAAAAAAATCCAAAAAAAAGAAGAAAATATAAAAATAATGCATATGACAAGAAAAACATAAAATCATCATCAAAAAATCCAAATTAATATAATTTTATGATTTTTTATCATTTTTTAGATTCCCTGGAATTTACCCTAGTACCCTGCTCGGCAAAGGGCCGAGTCCAAGTGGACTCATCCAAGTTCTTAATTGCTGCTATTATAGATTTATGTTGTCCTTATTATACTTTGCCAATCTTGTCACCAGTCCCTCGTCTCTTGTACACAAAACATGTTATGTTCTTCGACTTATGAGAAGCGTTTCCGTGTTTGGCCCAACTACCAAAACATGTTTTGGAAGCACTGCCACACCATCGTTAGGAATTAGCTTTTTGAAGGTGTTAGTGGGATAGTGTTAGTGGTGGGAATGGAAACCACAACGTGGTGACTAGGGTGTGGGAATGCTACCACCCCTTTTTCCAGTGTTTTGGTAGTTGGGCACCTTTTAGACATTTTCTCATAACTAAAGTATAAAATATATTCTCTCATACAATAAATCATATCCACTTTCCAATTGTTCATGTGACATCATACAAGTGAGAAACAAAGTCTTAATTATAGTTGGACCAAATTCGATGTTCTTACCCTTAATCCAGCTTTTTTGGACCAAATCCTATGGTTTTTTTTTACTCCAGCTTTAAATTGGACCAGATCATATGTTTCGGTTTTCACTCTTCTAGCCAATTTTCCTGAATGATCAAAGACAAATTCTTTGCATTATCAACCAAAAACAGATATCAAGATCAGTCTTGCACAAGTATATATATTTCTGATACCAATGCTAGAAAACCCAAATCACAGATTTGGGATTCCTTATTCATTTGCGTTTGGATAACCTAAACTTGTATTCTGTTGGGTCAAATTATAAGAGAAAACAAAGGCACATAAATGATAAAAGCAAGCAAAAACCATTGTCAAATCCAAACAATTTACCCTAACATTCAAGAAAAGAACTTCAGTTAATTCAACTTGAAATTTATTGCTGTCAAAATGAAATACAAATTATTGGTTATAACGGATTACCTGGTTCATCAGTCCCATCCGTGCAATCACAAAATCCATCGTTGATTCGATCTCTCGAGAAGAATTTGGATTTATCTCTGCACATGATCATCCTCGAACTGAAGTACTTCTCATCTGAAATGGAGTTTCACATAAGTAATAGCAAGCGCTGGAGAGAGAGAGAGAGAGAGAGAGAGAGAGAGAGAGAGAGAGAGACGTACGACGTACGGTACGTACGTACGTACGTACGTAAGGTAGGTAAGGTAGTAGGTAGTACGGTAGGTACGGTAGGGTAGGTAAAGGGTAAACGGT